AAGCAAGGAAAATAAGGTTTTCAATGAAGCCTCACACAATTAAAATGTTAAATATTTCACATACTATTCTGATGTCTGCAGGAGGTAAAGCTTCACAGGGAGCTAACTTATCCTCCACAGCCAAAGGAAATGAAGCCGTTTCAGCCATCAGATGGCTTTACCTCAGTGCATGTTCCAAAGAGATTCACAGGCCTTGCTTCCATATAAAAAATAATTTAGAAAAAGAGGGTGATGGAGGGCATACTACAAAGAGAACAGTTCAGTCTCATTTGACAGTCAGTAACTATGGGTCAGACTGCACAATTGATTTTTCAGCAGAACACTTCTTTGATTTCTATAGGGAGTTCAGCTTAAAAATTAATGAGACAATATGTCCTTATTAAAGGAATCATTTTAGGAAAAAAAAAAACCTCTCACCTGCTTAAGTTTGTTAACTCTTGTTCCCACTAAAGACTGGCAAAACCATCTACTATGCTGATTTTAGGGAATCCAATTCCTAAAATTCCAATTTTTAGGAATTCTTAGGCACTAAATCTAGTTTGCAGAATAGGATAAATACAACTGTCTACAAATAAAGTTTGGCAAGTTCCTAAGAGCCTGTAGGATTGTAACCCAAATTTTTGGTTGGGTTTTTAGTGAGTGCTTTTCTCTGCCTGCCTGTGTAGAGCCACAAGGAGAGGGGTAAGTGTAAAAAGCACGAGCAAAGCACACCCAAGGATGCAGAATTTATCCATGCTAACTTGCTAACAGGGAAATGATTCTGCAGTGCCTTTATAATGAGGTGTTATGGGGGGCAGTCTGAGCAGGATTCTGGCCCAGGACAGGATCCAGCCCATTCCCAGGAAGGTGCACACACCGAAAGAGCCACAGGAGGGCTGGCTGTCCCAGCTCCCAGCACCAAAGCGAGCTCCATCCCACTGGATGTGACACAGTCGCCTAAGCAGGGGTGCTTCAGCAACACTCAAAAGCTCCATTAAAAAAGAGTTTAAAAGTTTTCACTGCAGTGAATCACAGAAGCAACTTATTGATGTATTTCACACGTCATGCAAGCTGGTTCTTCAGCTGTGAAACACAGCAAAGATCAGTGTCCTCGCCTGCTTTTACCCACACCTGCCCACAAAAGCGAGGTGACATTTCCCCTTGCAATTACTGCACATTGGTTATAACTGAACAGCCTTTAAAGCTCTGCTCAGTCCAAGTCCAGCCTCTGTCCTCAGCTGCACACAAACATTACACACTTTCTCCATGAAGTCCAACAGCAGAGATAAGGCAAGATATGAAACAATGAAATTACGAGGGTCAGAGAGTTGGAAAGTTAACAACATGATAGACCCACTTGCAGCAAAATGTTCCTCCAGAGAAGGCATTATGCATCTGGAAAAGAAAATAAACCAAACAAAACAAGCCCATATTATTCCTTTTTCAATCCAATTTGCAAATTCACAGAATAATTTTTCACAAAATAAACCCAAAATCAAACAAAAACAGGGGAGCAGGGATAAGATGATGGGACACACACACACACACATTTTGGAAACACCTGGTATGACAACCATAGTCTACAGTCCAGGTGTTTAGAATGCTTCCCCAAAAAGCTGAATAATCTTGGTTTACAATTATCATCTTAGCCCAGGCCCTTAGTACAAAGAACAAAAGATACAAGGGATACTCCACTGCAATCCTCAAAGTTTCACTCAGACAACAGTACTCAAGTTTCCCCACTTACTTTTCCAGTCCTGGCTTTCCACACCTTTTTTTACACATGCTCAAAGGCAAGTGTAATCAATCTTATTCCAAATAAAAAAAGAGGTGTTTTTCAGGGTTTCTGCCAGAATGGCAAAGTCAGCAGGATTTTGACAAAGTGCAGCAGGAATTTAAAGAGTAAAGGCAAAGTATCCCGTCACCTGGAAAGTGCTGATGACGACAGCAACCAAGCTGGAAAACCACTTGGAATATTTAATCAGGCTGTGGTACAGATTAATTTGATACTGTCTTTAAAGTGCTTTGAACATGAAAAGCATAACTTAATTGTTTTCTCTTCAGCCTCACCACCACCGCTCCTCGTCCTACCTAACGGTGCAAGGCAGCTGGTGAACGCCTGGTGTTTCACTGGGCTGGGACAAGGGAGAGCTGCTCCAGCAACAACCCAACCCCTTCATCTGCTTTCAAGCAAGTAACAGCTGATTGCTGGGCAGATATTTGTTAAAATGTTCTACTCTTCGTTCACATCAGCCTAGCTGTGCAACTCCCAATGTATTCTGGCTAAAAGTTAGATCAGTACCTAATGAAAAAAATTTTAAAAACCATTAACAGTAATTGTGATTTTCACTTTCAAAGCTGTGACAGCACCCAAGCAATTAACAGGTCCTTTTGGCTTTATGAGGTTTCATATACAAACATTGTAACTCCTACTGCAGTTTAGGTAGATTAGAGGACACTGTAATCCAAAGACTTTAACATCTCCCTTTGAAAAGCACTTCTACCAAAAGAGTGTGAGAACCGTGCTCTTTTACTTTTACTCTGTTTTTCTTATCCTGTTAGACCAAATTTGGACAGTACAAATACATAGCAAGTGGGATCTTCAGTCTTCAATTAACTCTTGAAAAAGCAGTGTTCACTTAAAGGATAACAACAGGAGAGAAAGATTCAAACATTCTGCTGTCTGACTGCACACTCATTGATCAGGAAACATGGTACAATTATAATGCATTAAAAAAATGCATGATTTTTCTTCATTCAGTGGCTAGCATCTCTGGCTTCTAACTACATACTCTAAGACAAAAGGATAGAAAAACTCAACTCAGTCCTGCAGTGCATCAAAATGCCTCAATACACAAGAAGTACAGCACACAGATCTGCCAGGACTATGCACATTTCTGCATTTTCTGAGGAAGTGAGCATTTTGCACTAGTAACAATCACAGTCATCTCATATTACACCAAGAAATGGGCCTACTGTTTTATTATGCTGTTTAAAATTGTATCACTCCAGCTTTGGGGATTTTTTGTGCCTTTCTTTTTGAAGGGTGGGCATGGGGAGATGGTGGTGGTGGTTTGGGAGAGAAGGACATTTTGCTTTAAGGATGCAATACAGAGAACTGCACGAAGTGCAATGATATTATTGTAATACATAAAATTACAATAGTAATATTACAATAATAGAACAGCAGTAGTCTGTCCCCAACAGAAAAACTCGGGGATGAAAGCAAACATAGGGAAAGAGAGTGGAACTTCCAGGGTAGCCCCAGAGCAGACATCCTCTGCAAATACAACACCTGGCCAGTGTTTGAACCACCACCTGTGGTAGCCAGGAGAACACACCTGAAGAACCTCACAGTCTGGAGCAACTCCTCTGCACACATTTAAACTAACACATCAGTCAAAAAGTCTATTTCTATCAATTTCACATGGTAAGAATGATACAGAGCTGACGTGTTTTCTTACTTTTCTCAGACTAAAGAATCAACTCACCTTCTCAATCCTTTTTCTATTCCTTTTTTTTTGTTTGACTTTCCCTCATAACAACCAACACTTTAAATAAAAACCCCACACAACTACCCTGAAAGATTATAAAGGGAATAGAGCACACTTTCCTTGAAGAAACAAGGTGCAGCAGTAGGAACACACTAGCAAGCACAAAGGAGCCAGAGTAAAAAATTACAAAGTTTTTTAAGTACTCTTGTCATAAACGTTTTCAGGCATCCTCGAATTTTATAAATACTTCACGTAGGGATACATAGGCCTTTGTTAACTCATTTTTTTGTTGAAAGGACGGGATTCTACTGCAAAGCTCTGTGACACGAGACACTGAATGAATGCACAGTAACTCAGAATTTCATTTGATTTCTATCCAAACAAATTGAATCAGGCAGAATACAGATTAATTACAATTCTCTAAGTCAAAGACAAATTCTGAAACCTTTTCCCAGAATCTGCTTTGTGACTATCTTAAAAAAATTCTAGAGGATTTTCCACTGCGGTTTACACGCTTTCTTAAGTGGCTTATTTATTTCATTAGCTGTCTTAGAGCTGAGGGAACACATGAACATGCACTTCATCCCCTTTGGGCAGCAGCCCCTCCAAAATTATTGATTTCACAAGGTTGGTAATTCAGCTGGAGTGTCAACCTCAAAATCCATGAGAGAGGCCTAAACATAAAAGACTTGACATAAGATCATTCTGCCTGGTAAGAGCCCCAAGGTTTTCCATGCCTGGGAAGTCTTCCATTTCAAAACAGGAGCTTTTCAGTGGAATATCAGCAAGGTGGTTATGGCACTGTTGAAGCAATAGAACTCTGGAAGACTTAACACCAGCTTTTGCACATAAATATAGTGTTCTGCACAGAAATGGAGAGAGACTTCAATGGAAATGTTTGCATTTCAACACAAGTCTCCTTGGTGAGTGATCTAGGTTTTCTCCAAGATCAAAGAGGTGTGCATTAACATCTTCTGGCTTGCAGAAGAAAACACACACAAAACCCACCCATAACTCAAAGTGTAGTGAACTACAGAAACACAGCCAGGGAAAACAAGAGGAAACAGAATGGATAAACCAGATAATCCTCCAGAAACAGGACTAAATACAGATGCAGATTAGCCTGGCAAACTGAACATTTCCAGGAAGTGCTGATATGTCACTCTATTGCCAAAATTAGAAAAACTGTGTAGGAAGCAATTAGCTACTGTAGCTTCTCCCTACTTAAAATGATTGTTCAAGGCTATATTGTAATATGCAGTTGGTCATACCAATTCAGCACATAAATGCTGGTGTGAAAAATGCCATTTATTCAATCTCAACTTCAAAAAAAATCAAATTGAGTTGAGAGAAATAACAGTGCTTTTCTTGACCATTCTGCATTTACTCTTCAATTCTATTCCCAACACGCAGCTTTGTTGTGCACATTGTATGTGTGTTCTCCATAATTAAAGCTTTATTTGAACCTCCCCCCCTCTTTCCACAACTCTCTTGGTTAGATCAAAACAGTAGAGACAAAAACTGAAACATGCCTGGGGTGCAGGAGAGAAGAAAGACTATTTAGTGAAGTAGGCTAATGGTGGTGGGGAGGAAGGGGGCTGATTTTCACATCTCAGAACTGTTAAGCCTGCAAATATTACTGAAATCACATCTGGGAACAAAGCTCTGCTTTAAGTAAGTTCACCCATGAGTGTTGCTAAGCAATGGAGAAGAGACGAGGGAGCAGGAGAGTGCCTGACTTTAGGATTAGGAGGATGGATAGAAGTAAGGCTTCCACATAGCTTTATTTGTAAAAACTTTCAAGTTCTTTGTTTTTAGTGCCTGTCTTCCAAACTGCTTGTACCATGATTAATCAGGTCTCATTCATTGTCTATCCCAATGCACACCCAGCACAAAGAGAGGTGCTGCGTCCTGGAGCACTGGCACAAACGTTTGCGCACGAGAACTGCCAACATCTGTCTCTGGATTTAACAGGTAAGAGCTGGAGAAGCTGTCCTGATGCAAATACTGTAGAATTTAATGTCTATATTTTAGAGAAATACTGCAGGTATTTGTTTTTATGAAACTTAAACTATGTATTGTATGGGAAATAAAATACTTGTGATAGCTAGAGCTTGCTCTAACTCTATTCTTATGCTAGCAGTTACAGAAAAGTGAAGTATTTCATCTTATAAGATCAATAAATGTCATTTCTTCACCTTACTTAAATGAAGTTTTTCTCTGTCCACTCTCTACTTGCACCTTGATATTGTAAAAGTTTCTTGTTCTGCTTTAGCAAGATTGCTTGCAATCCTTAGGAAAACAGCTACACACTTTCAGCTGTAGACAAATACATTGCCTCATATTATTTCCCAGAAAACATTTGTTGCCTTGTTCAGCTAAATGCCTCCATAAACTATAGTATGTACATTTGTAAAGCATGCATTGTTGGAAAACTAAATTGAATTCTTTGATTCATTTTTACATGGCAGCAGTATTTTTCTTTTTTTTTTTAAATCATCATAAATACTCTGGAATGCTCATCTCTTTATTACTCAGAATTATATTCCATATGCTAAGGCATTTGCAGCCACACAGGTCATTTCATAGGCATTAAACTTTTACTGTATACCTGTCTTTTTAACATTTGCTAATAACTCATCTGGAAAGAGAGTGACATTTGTTGCTGAGTAACAGATGTCTGCACACACAGCATGAGCTAGGAGCATTTCTCAGCCTGAGATCCTAGATTATGATTAACTACCTAGTCAGTATTCTAGTTAGAGATATTATGAAGGCCTTTCCCAAAACTCAAGATATTCAAAGCCTATCACTTCTGCAGCACTCCAGCAGTGTTCCCTACACACAAGATGCATTTCCCTGACAGGCAAATGGCATTTAACAGACTGAACAATAGAAACTAATTGGGAAGATTGAATATTGTAATCACATTTTTATTTTGTACACCTTTATTATTTTCAAAAGCAGAGACTCTGAACCAAATATTTTAAGCTCAGAGAGGCACAGACACTGTACAAAGGCAAATTAAGCCACATGCTGAAAAGGCAAGCTACAAGTTTTCCTCTGAAAGGTGATAAATTAATTACGGAGATTGGCAAGTTTCCCATGCCTAACACATAAAATAGATCATTTCTTGTGCTATATTTTATTTAGATACGAAGTCAGAAGCAAATCTATGGGAAGCTGCTTTAGAGCTGAACAGGCATAGTCATATAATTTTTCATCCTCCAAAAACTCATCCAGGCAGTCCAGAACAAAGTGATCAAGTGGAAATACAGACCAGGATGGAAGAAAGATGCTGTGGATAACCCAGCAGTTTCCAGTTTCATATAGCAAACCTCTTGAAATGGATGGCATATAGAAAATGCACAGAGATCCATCATGTTGCGTTACCTAATTGACTTTTTTCCCCTTTTGCTTTTTCTTAATGAAAAGCAAGGCATGAGAGAAGAAGAAATCTTCCCTATCAGCAGCAGCAGGGGTTGCTGCAGCAAGATGATAATTCCCTCCTGCTACTCTGCTGACAACCACCAAGCTGCACAGGAAGAGCAAAGCATTTTAATCATGGAATTGAAAAACATAGCAGTTCCTAAAGCTCCACCTTACCTTGGCTGATTTACATTAATTTAGAATCAACTTGCTTTCAGCAAAATAATGTTATCTATGGAAGATAACAGAGGCGGAAAAATTCAGTAACTTCTAGCTTCCCTGTGCATAACAGGCAAGGATCTATGTACATAAACAGCTTTGGAACATCTTAGATAAGCAAGGATTATTGAATTCCTTAAAAGCACAGTGCAAACTTGATGGTTCCATAATTCCATACTAAATATTTTACAAGTGCCATGCTTCCAAATACACACCATTAAAGGGATAAAAAATTCACTAGCAGCTGGCAAGTCAGGGTCCAACCCAGTGTCCACTGGACCCATCAGAAATCCTGTGACAGAGACCTCAAGGTTTTGGCTCTGGCTCTTCCATCAGATTACCATTTATAACAAAGGCACTCCATAAGAAGCTGCTAAGATAAATGCAAACCTTGTGTCAAAGACAGTCAGACACCCCACCAAAATTAAAAATTTGAGCACACAGCAGCTTACAGGCAGCAGCTTTGGGCATGTGGCACAACATCTGCTACAAAAACACTAGAAAGCAGACCTGTGGCAAACTGGACCGGTGCCAGCTCTCAAGATTATCCCCCCTCCAAGGCTGTCAAGTAAATGGACAGATGGCAGCCGATGCACTCACAGGATAGTTAGCTCAGTTAACAATCAAGTATGCTAAATGATTTCAGATTCACTCTGCACCAAGCATTGTACTTTTCAGTGAACCATTAACACTGTGTCCTGATAGAAATATGGTTTGGTATGAAGGAACTGGCAGATCCTGTATTTTACAAGACAGTTTCTCTGGAACAATTTGTCAGGGAACATTAGATCTGCCTTCATGAATAAAGTGAGAATCTGCCAAGTTTGCCAGGCGGGTTTGCTCATAATTTTAATTCTACAGTGTTTGAGGAGAGAGGATGGAAACAAACACAAAGATGCAGGTCAGTTATCCATGCAAGCTGCTCCCAGGGATGCACTCAGTGAAAGCAGGAGGGATTTTAGGAGCACACAGGATCTCACATCCCAGCAGCTGTGCCCCTGCGGTGCTGCCTGCCTGCTGTAGGGCATCAGACAGCTCTCCTGCACAGGACAGCTAGCACAAGCAGCCTGCTGGGTGACACACTTGTCACCCAAGTGCACAGATGTGACAATTCATCCCAAAAAAGCTAATGATTCTTGGGTTTAAATGGGTAAAATCTGTAAAGAAAATTTGGCCCTCATACATCTAGGGGGCAAATAACTGTACTGAGCACTAGCACATAGCATACAGGTGGACAGGCCTCAGCATTACAAGAAATATCTTAAAATTCTTCCTCCCTATGGTTAGATATGCCTTTAAGGACATTTGTAGACTTAGTGACAAATTTATTCTATTGATTTGCTTTCCTGTAAATCAGCAGGGCAAGAATAGTCTTTGAAAAAAAATGTTGGTTTCTTCTCTCACCTCCACCCTCTGCTCCTGTTGCATTTCCCTTCTATCTGTCCACCCAAAATCACATGTAGCTAAACAGCTGGTCATAAGTGTAATATAATTTATTATATATTTGGCTCCCATGAACATTTTATTCATCACAGTATAATAAATACCCTGAGAAAATACACACCACCACCCCTTTTCTGCCTTCATTGGAAAAATCCTTCAGCAGAAAGCAGGGGAGAAACCCAAGAAAAACAAGTGGAAAAATAGAAGGACAGGGAAGAGAGAGAATTAGTTAGCTCTATTGAAAGAGGTAGGAGTTGTGCCATGGATACCAGAAAAGCAGCACCTCACACTTCTTAACTGTTATCTCAGTTCCAAAGAGTAGGACTGAAAAAAACTGTAAATATAAAGCATTTCTAGTGGGCAATCTACAAACTAGTTCCCTACACAGTCAGGTGAGTGTCAGCTGGAGAGCAGCTGCCCAGTGCTGTGAAGTCTTGCACTTTGGACTCTCAGCCCAAACTGTCCCAGAGCACAGAGCTGAGGCCAGAGGAGCTCCATTGCAGGGTGCAGAATGTCCCCCAGCAGTGCTGAGCCTGCCTGTGCTCAGAGAGAGAACATCACACCGGTCTGCTGCCTCCCCTTCTGCTGGGACACCGCTTTCCTCAGATCTTACGGGGCATTGCCAGGGTTATACCAGGGAACAGCAACAGCAGCCAAGGATTCACACTCCCTGCTCTCCCAGTTCAGATGTGGAAAGGTGCCACAGAAATACCAGAGCAGGAGCAGGAACTCTGCCAGTGTGTTGTGCTCCTCAGCAGCCCTCTCTGCAGCTTTGCTCTCCCTTGAGGAGGCAATGTTGTGACTCTGGGGTCTGACCACCAGAGCAGGGAAGTCAGAGATGTAATTTAGAAAAAATAAAGAGCAAACCAGTCAAAAATGGAGACAGAAGCAACCTCATTTTCTGGCTGAACTTTATGAAAATCTGATTAGACCTTGGTGAAATTTAATCTTTGCCTTCCAGACCTTCTGAGACAACAGTAAAGATCTCCTGAGCTCATAAAGTACCCAGAGAGGAGAGATACCACTCAACTAGGTAGTAGTGGAAAGGAAAATAGCTGGGAAAAATTATTTTTCTTGGCACTAATCACCACGTAAATCTGCAAAAAATGTCATTAAAAAGTGAATGATAAAAAGCTACACATCACTATTTTCAAACACAAGAATGCACTTTATCAGACAAAATAATAAAATAATATGAAAAAGACAAATTAGCTACAGCAATAATTAGGAATGCCAGACATTCAGAAGAGAGTATTTGTTCAAATTGCAAAGATAGTCAAGAGACAAAAAATTTTATTCCCAGCAGCCCTACAGTGCTAACATTTCTTTTTCCTTTTTTCCCTACTAAAAATTTACAGCAAAAACAAACCAACCTACCAGATATATTTTTATATTATCAGCCCTTCCCCAGAACAATTCTGATTCAAAACCACTCATTAAGCTGGAACTGGCAAAACCCAAAGTTCCAGTCTTTTATTCTCAGCCAGAGGGTCCACATTTCTCCACGTCCTTGTAACAGCTGCTCCACTTTGCCTCATGAGACAAAGAAAAATGGGGAAATTTTGACTTTTCTCAAAATGTTTTTACACTCATGGACAGATAACACACGGGGTCATTAGCTCCACAGGAGGCCACACCAAATGCTGCTTCCTGCCTGCACTGGTGTCACTCCCCTCTGCCAGCTCAGCGGTGGCACCAAGAGAAGCCTTTCTGCTCTTTCAGCATCTGCAGTGGAATAGTTGCCAAGGGTTTGATCTTGGCCTCCTGGTTTGTGCCTGCAGTGCCCAGGATTCCCAGGGGGTCTCAGAGCCAGACCTTTCCTACTTTGGGGTTGCTGAGCCCACCACAAACCACATTTTGCTGCCACAGTGTAAAACCAGCAA